GCAGATGTAGATGCCATTGGTTCTTCACGTTCTGCAGATGTAGATGCCACTGGTTCTTCACATTTTGCAGATGTAGATGCCATTGGTTCTTCACGTTCTGCAGATGTAGATGCCATTGGTTCTTCACGTTCTGCAGATGTAGATGCCACTGGTTTTTCACGTTCTGCAGATGTAGATGCCACTGGTTCTTCACGTTCTGCAGATGTAGATGCCACTGGTTCTTCACGTTCTGCAGATGCCACTGGTTCTTCACGTTCTGCAGATATAGATGCCATTGGTTCTTCACGTTCTGCAGATGTAGATGCCACTGGTTCTTCACGTTCTGCAGATGCCACTGGTTCTTCACGTTCTGCAGATGTGGATGCCACTGGTTCTTCACGTTCTGCAGATGTAGATGCTACTGGTTCTTCACGTTTTGCAGATGTAGATTCCACTGGTTCTTCACGTTCTGCAGATGTAGATGCCACTGGTTCTTCACGTTCTGCAGATGTAGATGCCACTGGTTCTTCACGTTCTGCAGATGTAGATGCCACTGGTTCTTCACGTTCTGCAGATGTAGATGCCACTGGTTCTTCACGTTTTGCAGATGTAGATGCCACCACCGCCATCTGTTGCGCAGCGGTTGAACTCACGACTCTCAGTCCGAACGGGCATAGACACCCAAAGATACACATAACGTAGAAATACATTAGAGATAAGCCACAGTAGTGATATTATGGCCATGCAAAACAATCTATGGCCCATAATTGAAACCCGTGGACACCCAGAGATAACGTGGAGATATACAGAGACCCACAGAGATACAGAACATAGAGACACACAGAGACAAAGAGATTCAGAAATACATAGAGATACATTATAGACAATCCACAGTAGTGGGATTGTGGCCATGCAACTCACTATATGGCCCATAGAGACTCATAGAGATACATTAGAGACCCATAGAGTTACATTAGAGACAAGAAGCCACAGCGATGTGATTGTTGCCATACCACTCGCACTCCGGACTGCACGGTAAACCCATAGAGACACAACGGCATACATAGACACTCATAGATATCCATTAGAGTTAAGCCAAAGTAGTGCAATTGTGGCTATGAAACTAACAGTATGGCCCAATAATAATACACCCTTAGAGACTCATGGAGATACGTAGAGACCCATAGAGATGGAGACACACCTAGGGATACACATAGACACTCATAGATATCCATTAGTGTTAAGCCAAAGTAGTGCAATTGTGGCTATGAAACTAACAGTATGGCCCATGTAATAAACCCTTAGAGACTCATGGAGATACATAGAGACCCATAGAGATGGAGAGACGTGTAGGGATACACATAGACCCATAGAGATACATTCGAGTTAAGCCAAAGTAGTGCAATTGTAGCTATGAAACTAACAGTATCGCCCAATAATTATAAACCCTTAGAGACTCATGGAGATACGTAGAGACCCATAGAGATAGAAACACGTAGGGATACACATAGACACTCATAGATATCCATTAGAGTTAAGCCAAAGTAGTGCAATTGTGGCTATGAAACTAACAGTATGGCCCAATAATTATAAACCCTTAGAGACTCATGGAGATACATAGAGACCCATAGAGATAGAGACACGTAGAGATACACATAGACCCATAGAGATGCATTCGAGTTAAGCCAAAGTAGCGCGATTGTGGCTATGAAACTAACAGTATGGCCCAATAATTATAAACCCTTAGAGACTCATGGAGATACGTAGAGACCCATAGAGATAGAAACACGTAGGGATACACATAGACCCATAGAGATGCATTCGAGTTAAGCCAAAGTAGTGCGATTGTGGCTATGAAACTAACAGTATGGCCCATATAATAAAGCCTTAGAGACTCATGGAGATACGTAGAGACCCATAGAGATAGAAACACGTAGGGATATACATAGACCCGTAGAGATACATTCGAGATAAGTAAGCTGTTGTCATCGTGTGCTTAAGAATAGCCGAGAACATTCAACACAGGAAGCGTTGGTGGGTGACAGGTGTTACGCGCAGCAAGGTCACACGCTTAACAAGTGGCAAAAGTCGGCACGCAGCTAATTAGGGGCAAGATGCAAGAGGCATCACAATGGCGAGATGTTAACTGCCTCGCCTGGTGTACAGGAGGTGTCGTCAGGGTTCGAACAAGACCCCTGACGATGCCTGCTGCTGTGTATTTGGAGTTTGTGGTGTCTCTACCCCCCCACCCTCCTTAACCCCCCCCCTCACCCCCCACCCTCCTTAACCCCCCCCCCACCTCAACCCCCCCTTAACCCCCCACCCCACACCCCCCTTAACCCCCTTCACCCACACCCCCCCACCCTCCTTAACCCCCCCCACCCACACCCCCCACCCTCCTTAACCCTCCCACCCAACACCCCCCACCCTCCTTAACCCCCTCACCCAACACCCCCCACCCTCCTTAACCCCCCCCCCCACCCAACACCCCACACCCTCCTTAACCCCCCCCACCCAACACCCCACACCCTCCTTAACCCCCCCACCCAACACCCCCCACCCTCCTTAACCCCCCCCCCCCCACCCAACACCCCACACCCCCCTTAACCCCCCCACCCAACACCCCCCACCCTCCTTAACCCCCTCACCCAACACCCCCCACCCTCCTTAACCCCCCCCCCCACCCAACACCCCACACCCTCCTTAACCCCCCCCACCCAACACCCCCCACCCTCCTTAACCCCCCCACCCAACACCCCCCACCCTCCTTAACCCCCCCACCCAACACCCCCCACCCTCCTTAACCCCCCCCCCCCACCCAACACCCCACACCCTCCTTAACCCCCCCCACCCAACACCCCACACCCTCCTTAACCCCCCCACCCAACACCCCCCACCCCCCTTAACCCCCCCACCCAACACCCCCCACCCTCCTTAACCCCCTCACCCAACACCCCCCACCCTCCTTAACCCCCCCCCCCCCCACCCAACACCCCACACCCTCCTTAACCCCCCCACCCAACACCCCCCACCCTCCTTAACCCCCCCACCCAACACCCCCCACCCTCCTTAACCCCCCCACCCAACACCCCCCACCCTCCTTAACCCCCCCACCCACACCCCCCACCCTCCTTAACCCCCCCCCCACCCAACACCCCACACCCCCCTTAACCCCCCCCCACCCAACACCCCCCACCCTCCTTAACCCCCCCCCCACCCAACACCCCCCACCCTCCTTAACCCCCCCCCACCCAACACCCCCCACCCTCCTTAACCCCCTCACCCTCCTTAACCCCCCCACCCAACACCCCCCACCCTCCTTAACCCCCCCACCCAACACCCCCCACCCCCCTTAACCCCCCCACCCAACACCCCCCACCCTCCTTAACCCCCTCACCCAACACCCCCCACCCTCCTTAACCCCCCCACCCAACACCCCCCACCCTCCTTAACCCCCTCACCCAACACCCCCCACCCTCCTTAACCCCCCCCACCCAACACCCCCCACCCTCCTTAACCCCCCCACCCAACACCCCCCACCCTCCTTAACCCCCCCACCCAACACCCCACACCCCCCTTAACCCCCCCCACCCAACACCCCCCACCCTCCTTAACCCCCCCCCCACCCAACACCCCCCACCCTCCTTAACCCCCCCCCCACCCACACCCCCCACCCTCCTTAACCCCCCCACCCAACACCCCCCACCCTCCTTAACCCCCCCCCACCCAACACCCCCCACCCTCCTTAACCCCCCCACCCAACACCCCCCACCCTCCTTAACCCCCCCCCCCACCCAACACCCCCCACCCTCCTTAACCCCCCCACCCACACCCCCCACCCTCCTTAACCCCCCCACCCAACACCCCCCACCCTCCTTAACCCCCCCACCCAACACCCCCCACCCTCCTTAACCCCCCCCACCCAACACCCCCCACCCAACACCCCCCACCCTCCTTAACCCCCCCCACCCAACACCCCCCACCCAACACCCCCCACCCTCCTTAACCCCCCCCACCCAACACCCCCCACCCTCCTTAACCCCCCCACCCAACACCCCCCCACCCTCCTTAACCCCCCCCCCACCCAACACCCCCCACCCTCCTTAACCCCCCCCCACCCAACACCCCCCACCCTCCTTAACACCCCCCCCCACCCAACACCCCCCACCCTCCTTAACCCCCCCCCACCCACACCCCCCACCCTCCTTAACCCCCCCCCCCCACCCAACACCCCCCACCCTCCTTAACCCCCCCACCCAACACCCCCCACCCTCCTTAACCCCCCCCCCCACCCAACACCCCCCACCCTCCTTAACCCCCCACCCAACACCCCCCCACCCAACACCCCCCACCCTCCTTAACCCCCCCACCCAACACCCCCCACCCTTCTTAACCCCCCCCCCACCCACACCCCCCACCCTCCTTAACCCCCCCACCCAACACCCCCCCACCCTCCTTAACCCCCCCCCCACCCAACACCCCCCACCCTCCTTAACCCCCCCACCCAACACCCCCCACCCTCCTTAACCCCCCCCCACCCACACCCCCCACCCTCCTTAACCCCCCCACCCAACACCCCCCACCCTCCTTAACCCCCCCCACCCAACACCCCCCACCCTCCTTAACCCCCCCCCACCCAACACCCCCCACCCTCCTTAACCCCCCCACCCAACACCCCCCACCCTCCTTAACCCCCCCACCCAACACCCCCCACCCTCCTTAACCCCCCACCCAACACCCCCCACCCTCCTTAACCCCCCCCACCCACACCCTCCACCCTCCTTAACCCCCCCCCACCCAACACCCCACACCCTCCTTAACCCCCTTCACCCACACCCCCCCACCCCACACCCCCCACCCTCCTTAACCCCCCCACCCAAACCCCCCACCCTCGTTAACCCCCACCCCCCACCCCCCTTACCCCCCCCACCCACACCCCTCGCTATGCCCCGCCCACTCCCCCAAACCAACCAATGGGTGAGCAGCTCGCCCGTGGCTTCATTCAAACTCGGAGAGTCTGGGCGGCAGCGGCAGAGGCGCCTCTGAGGGAGAGACCGAGGCGACGTTTCGCGCGAGGGAGCGAACGAAGGAAGGAAGAAGTTTAACAACAACAACAACAGCAACAACACAAGTTCGCCATGCTTTGAAACATCCTCCGTCGGGCTGTGAAACAAAAAAGACGGAACTAACAGAGGGTCATGGATAAAACGTCGTACATCGCGGGCCCCTACAGAGCTACTAAACTCGTGAGTCTGTCGCCGCCGAGCGAGGTTCAGATTGTCGATGTTGATTATCGATTCGTCGCCGCCGCCGCGTTCTGTCGTTTTAATCTAAATCGATTTAAAAACATCGATAATAACGACGTTTAGATTTGCTAGCGCGCATTGGGCTCGACGGCGGTAACGTCGACGCTGATTGGGCCGCTCGCGCCCCGCACCCCGCCCCCCTCCCGTCGTCAGCCAATCACGGGACGCCGTCTCGTCCCCCGGGGGGCGGGGCGAAGCGGTCTCGACCAATCACGGCCGTCGCCACGCTTATGCATGTTGGAGAATGTAAAAGGCATTCGCGGTGTCTTCTTTGGTTCTTTCGGTAAAGTCGCCGCGTAGAAGGGAAGTAATAAAATAATGAAAATAAAACATAATAAAATTTCGATTTAAAGTTTTCGTGACTGCAGGGATTCATCTTCTTGGTTCTTTCGGTAAAGTCACGTAGAAGGGAAGTAATACAATAATTAAAATAAAACATAATTCTCACGACGTTTCGGCCACAACGCAAGCAGCCGTCCTCAGGTGAAGACCAGGTCTGTCGGGAAGACAGCGTCTGACAGCCCTGTTCTTCACCTGAGGACGGCTGCTTGCGTTGTGGCCGAAACGTCGTGAGAATATTATTTTATTATGTTTTATTTTTATTATTTTATCATTTCCATTCTACGTGATTAGTTTATCTTCTTGGTTCTTTCGGTAAAAATAATAAAAATAAAATATTATAAAATAATACAATTCTCACAATAGTGAGAATTGTATTTTTTTTTTATAAAATAATTAAAATAAAACAATAAAATAATACACAACAGTGATAATTGTATTTTATTATGTTTTATTTTTATTATTTTATTATCTCCCTTCTACGTGACTTTACCGAAAGAACCAAGAAGATGAATCCCTGCAGTCACGAAAACTTTAAATCGAAAGATAGCCACTCTGCCGAGATATTTCGTTTGCGGAATGGACAGGCTCAGTTTTGCAACAACAACAACAAAAGTTGAATACGCCTGCTAAGATACAAAAATTAGTTTAGTTTTATTTGGATATAGTTATAAAGTTATTTGATTACCTTTATTGTAACTTCGGGAAAACTCCATTGGAACCTCATTTGCCAGTAAAAAATATGATAATTGTTTTTTACCCTTCTATCTGGCAACAAAACTGACACCTTTTTTTTACAAGGAGTCATGTTTGCATAGACCACAATACCTGCAGTCATGATGCAAACAAAAAACACAACTCTGATAATGTATGCACTGTCCTTGAAGTTTGAGTTGTGCGCCTTTTGGCGTCATCTGGTCCAACACCATGTGAGACTAGGCTCTAAGGAAAGCTGTCTCGGGTGTGGACCAATCAACTTCAAGGACAGTGCATACATTATCAGAGTTGTGTTTTTTGTTTGCATTATGACTGCAGGTATTGTGGTCTATGCAAACATGACTCCTTGTAAAAAAAAAAGGTGTCAATTTCGGGCAAACTGTCATGTGTGTTGTACTGTTTGTTGTTGTAACGTCCTTACCACGTGACCCCATTACTTTGACATCTGTGTTGAAGCACTTTATAGCTTTTCGGATTCCTCCTGAACGATCAATATTCTGATTCTGAACCCAGAACGGAGCAGCAGCAGCAGCGTCGGAGCGGAGTGTCCGTGCCTTGAGATCATTCAGATGATCTTGGCTGCTATAAATGTCCACTTGATGGGCCACTCTGTCGAGTTTGTGGATGGCCAAGTCGCTTCTGCAAAAAACAGGTCACTGCGGGGTGGGCTGGTAGGAACGAACAAATGAATGGCTATAATAAAATTAATTGGCGGGGGTACGATACGAAGGGAGAGTTTGAGGCCTAGTTCTAGCCGCTGTGAGTTAATTTTTAATTTAAATGTTTTAATTAAAAACTAGCTCAGGGAATTATAAGGGAATGTTACACTTGTTTAGCCAGGAAAGCCTCACTGAGTCTAAAGGTTTTTGTAGGGTCCTGCCAAGTGTTTGCAGTAGGGGGCGATGTTGCTACACCTAATCGGACATCGGACGGACGGACGATATAATCTATTGTAGGCTGGTTCACTTCGTTCCTACCAGTATAAGTGGGGCTTTTCCTGCTAGGATGGGGATGGTTTATTTGTATGTTGTTCGGGTGATTTGTTTACCTTTGCACGAACTATATCGTGTGTCTGTTTTAAATCCTTTATATTAAGTTCGCTTGCTTGCTTAGGACCGTGCAAATCTTTCGGTCGTTTTTTAACCCACTTCCCGTGATCCAATCGAGCTGACATTTTGCACACAGACTCGTTGTGCGTGACAATTAATGTTCGTGAAAATGTTTTTTTCCAAAATTTTACACTTTTTAGGGAAAAAATAATTATATGTAATTACCAATTGCTTAATGGTGGCAAGCAATCATCTGACCCATAGGTGGCAGCCATCTCAAGCCAGAGGACGAGAGGACTCTAGCCGCCACGCATATAAAGGATTTATAGTGAAAAACTTAGTTTTTACGGGTTAATTTTTTATTTGTTTGTTGTAACGTTCTTATCCTGTGACCCCTGCTGGATATCTCTGGACAAAAAACTTTACAGCCGCATATCAGGACATCAATAACACTGGTCAACACACTTTTTCTGGCATAAGGTATTCCAAATATTGCATTTTCAATCAAAACTGCAGAAGAAAAATATTAAATAAATGTGGAGATCTACATAAAATGATATTATAAACATACCATCCTAAAAATACAGTGCCATATTTTAACACTAAAGCAGTCACTGACTCGCAACAACTTGCAATCATGAGTGACAGAGTTAATTTCGGGTAAAATCAATGAAAATGGGGTATGCCGATAGCATAATGTGATAGAGCAAACCTGAGATCAGATTTGGAATCAGCACCCTGTGAAATTAGTCTAAAACAGCTGCAAAAGTCCAGGCCAGAAAAAAAATTTTTTTGTTGTTAACCAGTGTAATTGGCCGCCGATACTGCACCACAATCCCTCCATCTCATAAACACATTCCTGCGGAGGGAGCTGGTAGGAACGTTGGGTTGCTCGGTCAATGGCCAGGGTCAACGGCGGCGTGGTGTATTCCGCAAATATGCCCGACTGTGAGGGCGGGCACAAGCCGGCGTGAGTAGGTTAAACGTTACATTGGTACGGTTGGCTACGTACTGTGCGAAAGAAGTTCAATATATACATAGCGACTCCGAGAGATACTCAACATAGAAACCCATAGAGACACATTTAAGACAAGCCACAGGGCTGAGTTTGTGATCATGCAGCCGAAACTATGGACCTCTATGGTAAACCCAGAGATACATATAGAGATCTTGATTTGAAGCTTTCGTGACTTATTTTGTTTTATTTCTACCTACGTGACTTTACCGAAAGAACCAAAGAGTATACATAGAGTTGTACAGAGACTCAGAGATACTCTACATCGAAAACCAAAGAGACGCATTCAATTTACAGCAGCCAAATACTCCAAACGCGTGTTGCTAAATGTGGAGGGAAAAGCCGGAAGACCCGGAGAAAATTTCACATGACCTGGGGAAGAACATGGATGCTCCAAGTCTACAGGCTTCAGGGTCAGGATCAAACCCGTGTCCTTCCGTATACCAGGCGAGGTAGTAAACATCTCGCCACACACGCGCCGGTCGTTGGTGGTGAGGGATATCTGAGCGCACATCTCGGATAACGCCTAAACGTGGTGTTGCAAGCCGTCGGCCGGGAATCGAGCTTGGGTTGCCGCTGCGTACAGAGCGCGGTGTGTGTGTGTGTGTGGAGCTATTACCACTCCCACTATTGGCACAGTATCCGTGAGATGCTGTGTATACGGCAGTGGTTTAGTGGCCAGGATTTCTGCATTCCTGTAGAAACTGCCATGGCGACGATTATAAAATGTTCTTTATCTCAGAAAAAAAACCTCCGGAGTCGGTATTGGGTTGTTTGGTTATTGTATGGTGATTCATTCAACCTCCCCCCCTCTCTCTTTATTTAAGGCCTCGACACGGAGGCATTGGGTCTCTGTGTATCTATGTTGTGTGTCTCTCTCTGTGTGTCTCTGTGTGTGTCTCTCTCTCTGCTTGTGCCTGTCTGTGTGTCTATGTTGTGTGTGTCTCTGTGTTGTCTGTGTGTCTATGTTGTGTGTCTCTCTCTGTGTGTCTCTGTGTTGTCTCTCTCTGCTTGTGTGTCTGTGTGTCTCTGTGTCTGTTTTGTCTCTCAAATGTAGTTCTACCTGATGACGGTTGCTTGTGTTGCAATCGAAACATCGTATTATTATTATTATTTAATTTATTTCCTTTCGACGTGACTTTATCGAAAGTACCAAACAGTAATTCCTGCAGTCACGAAAGCTTCAAATCAAGTTTCATTCAAAGATAATGGCTTTTCCTGGGAAAGCCATTATAAAAATAAAACATAATAAAATTATTATGTTTTATTTTTTTTATAATAAAAATAAAACATAATACAATTATTATGTTTTATTTTTATTATTATTTTATTACTTCCCTTCTACGTGACTTTACCGAAAGAACCAAGAAGATGAATCCCTGCAGTCACGAAAGCTTTAAATCGAAATTTAAATCCAAGTTTCGCCTGTTTGTTTTTTTTTATCTGTAATTACTGAACGCTTCGATGTCGTCTGCCGGCCGAGTCAAACTCCGAAAAAATTAACCCGTAAAAACAAGGTTTTTCACTCTAAATCCTTTATATGCGTGGCGGCTAGAGTCCTCTCGTCCTCTGGCTTGAGATGGCTGCCACCTATGGGTCAGATGATTGTCTGCCAGCATTAAGCAATTGGTAATTAAATATTTAAAACATTTTCCCTAAACAGTGTAAAATTTTGGAAAAAAAATTTTCTCGAAAATAAATTGTCACGCACAACGAGTCTGTGCAAAATGTCAGCTCGATTGGATCACGGGAAGTGGGTTAAAAAACGACCGAAAGATTTGCACGGTCGTAAGCGCGCAAGCAAGCAAGCGAACTTAATATAAAGGATTTAAAAAAAGAACCTCCTCGGCTCAATAAATACAAAATCTGATTCTGATCTCTCTTTACCCACCACCCCACCCCCCACCCCCCGGGTCCCAACAGTGGAATGAGGTGACTTCGCAGTTCCGCGCGTCGGTGCCGCTACGTAGGCACCGCGCTGGCCTGCGTTCGCACGCTCGCTGCTTCACGGCGGCGGAGGCGTGCGACAGCCTCCTGTCCGTGCTGCGCGCGCACGCCGCCTTCGGGCACCGCGTCGGGCGCCCGCAGGCAGCCGCGCTGCTGCGCAAGCTGCTCAAGAACCACGTCATTGAGGACGTGAAGGGACGCTGGGGCTCGGAGGACGTCCACGCCGACGACGGGCGGCTCTACCGGTGCGGTGGGGGGCGGGGGGGGCGTGGTGTTTCCAGGGGGGGTGGGGGGTCTGTGTCATCGAGTTTTGTGTTGGTCGGGCGCACGGCTGGGAGAGCCACGGAGGCTTGGCGATGTTAACTACTTTGCCTGGTATGCAGGAGGTCGTAGGTTCGATCCAGACCCTGACGATGCCTGCTGCTGTATATTTGGAGATTGCAGTGTCTCTCTTTCTCTCATCATCAACACAGTTACTAGATGTTGACTACCTCGCCTGGTATGCAGGACGTCGTGGGTTCAATACAGAACCTGACGATGCCTGCTGCTGTATATTTGGAGATTGCAGTGTCTCTCTTTCTGTCATCATCATCACGGTGGCTAGATGTTAACTATCTCGCCTGGTATACAGGAGGTCGTGGGTTCGATACAGACCCTGACGATGCCTGCTGCTGTATATTTGGAGATTGCAGTGTCTCTCTTTCTTTCATCATCATCACGGTGGCTAGGAGATGTTAACTATCTCGCCGGGTGTACAGGAGGTTGTGGGTTCGATACAGACCCTGACGATGCCTGCTGCTGTATATTTGGAGATTGCAGTGTCTCTCTCTCTCATCATCATCACAGTTGCTAGATGTTAACTACCTCGCCTGGTATTCAGGAGGTTGTGGGTTCGATCCAGACCCTGACGATGCCTGTTGTATATTTTAAGTTTACGGTCTTTCTCTCTCTCTCCCTGTGGACGCGTGGATTTTAAACGCGATAAACGAACCTTAAAGCTGAATCGGAGTTGAGGTCAACAAGGCTGTCTTAACTTTTGGCACATAACTGGGTAGTGGTACAGACACAGAGCGATGCTGTTGCTTTAAGAACCAAATCACCTACACGACATTCAAGCTACATCTGGGGTAAAACTCGAAAAATTCGTGGTCCCACGTTGCAGCCTCTTAAAGCCTCTGCGTTGAATCCGGCTTCTGTCGTGTGGCTCAAGAGACTATAACTGCGTCGGTTTACTGAGAGATGATGGCGCGTCATAGTCGGCGAGAGACGGAGGTCGCAAACGGGTTTTGATTCCTTACCCGTACCTGTACCTGGCCGCACCAGGGTCGCAAACGGGTACCCGTACCCATACCCGGCCGTTCCCGTACCCTACCCGTACCCAGCCGGGTACGGGTAGGGTACCCGATTGCGACCTCTGGGATGAAGCCATGTTGCAGGCGCGGGTGGGTTGATTCTAGGAACTTGAATTGTGAGAAGAGACAAGACGTTGGGAAATAAGTGACAAACGGTTACTCACCAGTGACTCACGGTCTACTCGTACCCGGCCGCACCAGGGTCGCAAGCGGCTACCCGTACCTGGCCGGGTACGGGTAGCCGGGTATCGGGTAGGGTACGGGTATTGGGTACCGGGTATTGGGTACCCGGTTGCGACCTCTGGCGAGACATAATAATGCCGCGTTGTCCAGGGCCACTGGCCATTTCTGGCTATTTTGTACAGTTCTCGGGTTAGATCGCTTAACTATAAATGTGTCGTTAAACCCGCCACCACCCGACACAACTGATTGGTAAGGTTTGTCATGTCAACAAAACGTGGCCAATTCGTTACTCGGTACAGCACTAACCGCTCGCGTGTTGGAGAGTGAACCCACATTATTTACAATTCGAGTACGAAGTTTCGCCGGCGATTACAGTAACAACGACCAGCATCATCAGGCGACGGCCAGGGTTGTGGAGGATTCCTCATCCTGTTCCGGTCTTGAATAGAGGGATCCACGTGATGTCGTCACTCGTGAGTCAACCAGGTGTAAAGACCAAATCGCTTAACGGGCAGTTTCTTGGAACCAATTACCGTCGTCAAGAGGGGAGTTCTACTCCACGGCACGTTTAAAAACGCTGCGTTTTGTCGTCGTTTCTCCCGACCCCTACGAAAGGATGTCAAACGCCCGCGTTGCTCGAACCCGTCGGGCCAACGTCAACGGCTCGCCCGACTCTCTCGCCTGACTCTCTCTCTCTCCCGACTCTCTCTCCTGACTCTCTCTCTCCCGACTCTCTCTCTCCCGACTCTCTTTCTCCCGACTCTCTCTCTCCCGACTCTCTCTCTCCTGACTCTCTCGCCCCACTCTCTCTCTCCCGACTCTCTCTCCTGACTTCTCTCCCGACTCTCTCGCCCGACTCTCTCTCTCCCGACTCTCTCTCTCTCCCGACTCTCTCTCTCCCGACTCTCTCTCGACTCTCTCGCCCGACTCTCTCGCCCTCGCAGGTTCCCGCCCGAGTCGCCGCTCAAGGCGGCGGCCGCTTGCCGGCGCTCTCCCCGCGGTCACCGCCCTCGGGGCTCCCTGGACGGCGCTCGGCAGGAGAAGCGACGGGACGTGGAGGACGATCGCCGCCACGACAACGACGACGACGACAAGGACGAGGAGGAGGAGGGTCTGTCTCCGCGCCGGCGGCCCCGGCTCGCATCCGCCCCCTGCCAGAGCTCCGGCGGCTCGGGCCGGCGCAGGATCACGCGGGCCGCGGGAATCACCGGACCTCCGCCCCGGTTCCTGCTGGTGAGGCCGGAGACGCGGCGGCGTCGGCAGCGGCGGCGTACCGTACGTATAGACCAGGGGTCGGCAACCAAAATAACAAGAAGAGCCATTTCTTTCCAATTCGGTACAAAATTCAGTATTTCAAGAGCCGCAATGCATCTGAGTACATACTGTACTCACGTACATATCGTCAAGAAGCAGCCCGTAAAGAGCCGCATGCGGCTCCGGAGCCGTAGGTTGCCGACCCCTGGTATAGACTGTCGCTACCGCCACCGCTCGGCAGCGTCCGGAAGCTCCCGTGAACAACAACAACAACAACAACGGATCTATGAGAAGTGCACGGCAAGATGCCGGGGATGGCTGTCGGAATTTTTCCCGGATACGTGACGTAAGATATTTGTATTTCCGCCTTTGACAGATGCCGGTTAAGAGAGCATTGCGGGTGGTGAAGTGCTTTTGCTTTTCCACGTTAACACAACGCTAACGCACGTGCTATGGGGCGGTCACTCCAACTCGACAACGAACCCTACACTATACACTCCTGCGTCACTTTTCACATCTCAAACTAATGATAATGAGCGGAAGAAACGTGAATATTTAAACAGTTGAACAATAACAAGTGAACAAAAGCGGCGCATCTTTTCGGGGAACTTGCCGTGAGATCCGCGGCATTCTATTCTGTTTAGAATGTAGCCAGCGCTCCTTATCCAGGGCTCTTTACAACGCAAACCGACGGGGCGGTACGCGGAGAAGGAGGGTGGGGTGGAGCGGCTGTCGGCGAGTGAGGTGACGGAAGGAACGGAGGGACAGGGGCTGGGAATGGAGCCGCGCGTGATGTTGGCCGGGGTTGTAGGTGTAGTGGTGTTAACTAATCGCTGTTCGCAAGCTGTGAGAGAGCAGATCGTGAACAAGGTTTTCCCGCTCAATCAAACGGTCAGGGTCAAAATGGGGTGAGGTAGGATCCAAATGCCAGATTGGGAAGGACCAATCGGAGGGTTCCACAAGGTGGCCGGGGATTGGACAACGCGGCCACGAACAGCTATAAAAGCCGGAGCGCTGAGAGCTCTTGGCCAGTTCTGCTACACGAAGACCCAAGTCGGCCGAAGACATCTAGGACCCTGGACCAAGCCCTCCAGCCCTCGTCAGGGCTAGGGCTCAGAGTAACCAGTGGTCGGGGAGAGATCCCCTAGGTCCAGCCAGAGGACGCTGGGAGAGCAGGGAGATTAGATAGACAGCAAGGTCCGGAGGCCGGACCTCTTCAGGGTAACGGGTGAGGGGACCATATACCCCTTAGTGTGATAGGGACTGTGTATTAAGACAATAAACAGTGTGTGCCATAAAGAGGTTTATAAGTCCGTCCTTTACAACACTACATAGGGATACGGAGGGTGCAGCGTGGATGAGAGGCAGCGGGGAAGGCGGGGGGGGGTTATGGAGGGCACACGCGTGACGTTGGAATGACTTGGGGAGGTGACGATGGCACGGCGGGGACACGGCGACGCTGTCCGCGGACGGACAACGCAGCCTCCGCCGACTGGGCTTCTTGTCTCACTGCGCGGTGCCCGTAGTTAGCAACTTAAAACGACGCGGAAATTCCATTTCGTTCAACCGAAGAGCGTCAGTAGATTTGTATCGATCGCGCGCACGCAACATTTTTCGCAAAACCCGAACATTCGTGCATCGAGGGCTAACCCGGCCCAGCTTACCCGTAGAATGATTTTCAAACTGGGCCCTGAGTCACGCTCTAGGCTGTCGAAAGTGGGATAACGCGGCGGTATTCAACCGGGGGGGGGGTACGCAGAATCCTGGGGGGAGGTTGGGGGGGGGGTACACGTGGCAATATCCCAGGGGTTACGTGAGGTCATCTCTATAAATGGTGAAATTACAGGTAGTCCTCTACTTACGACGGAGATGCGTTACGACGACCCCATCGTAAGTGGAAAATATCGTAAGTCGAAGATGGCCTCGTCTACCCAGGAGTCTTAAAGAATGGTGATAATTTAGCAAAACAGAGCAATTTACAGTACCGTACTGTTTAAACTATATACCGTATGTATTTATTAATTACAATACTGTATTGCACGGCAAAATGTACAGTAAAAAAAACAAGGTAAATTCTTAGCCTACCGATGTGAACTGCAGGAAACAATCCTATCTGTATTATAAAAACTTTTAACATGCATCGAACGTATCGTAACGTATCATATGGTACCAAGATTCTGTCCGTCGTCTGCACACTTTAACGACGTTAGGTTGTTGATGGCAATTTTGTCGTATCGCCATCGTAAGATCGAAATATCGTAAGTCGGACCATCGTAACTCGGGGACTACTTGTATATCATATGTGAGAGTGGTGAATGGTCGGGTGTGAATCTGGCAATGTCAAATAACTATGTTAAAATGGGAATCCATATGATCTAACCCATAATGCTATACACGACCTTTCTAAACTCATTGATCCTGATCAATTTGCTTTCCAAGGGCAACCGGCAAGCGCGAACAAATGACGTCATGCGGCGTGCAGAGCGTCTGTTGAATTGTTTTTTTTAATCGCTTGCGGTCAGTAGTTAAGCTCGGAGTGATAACCTCACAAAGTGGACAATTGGATCAAATATTGATTTTCATTATCCGTACATTTCTCAGAACCTTGTTGGGTCCAGCAAGGGGGAGTATACTCTGTTGAAACAAAATGTAACAAGGTGGGGGTACAATTGCAGGTTTTTTTTTGTTAGATCGTGTAAACATATGAATGTGTCATTAAACCCGCCACCACCCGACACGGACAATTAGTAAGGGTTTGTCACGTAAACAGAACGTGGCCAATTCGTTATGAGTACGACACTAGTGTGTAGTGTATAGTAGTGTAGTGTATAGTGTAGTGTATAGTGTAGTGTATAGTGTAAAGTAGTGTAGTGTATAGTAGTGTAGTGTATAGTGTAGTGTGTAGTGTATAGTAGTGTAGTGTATAGTGTAGTGTATAGTAGTGTAGTGTATAGTAGTGTAGTGTATAGTGTAGTGTATAGTGTAGTGTGTAGTAGTGTAGTGTATGGTAGTGTAGTGTAAAGTAGTGTAGTGTATGGTAGTGTAGTGTAAAGTAGTGTAGTGTATAGTAGTGTAGTGTATAGTAGTGTAATGTATAGTGTAGTATGTAGTGTATAGTAGTGTAGTGTATAGTGTATGGTAGTGTAGTGTATAGTGTATGGTAGTGTAATGTATAGTGTATGGTAGTGTAGTGTATAGTGTATAGTAGTGTAGTGTATAGTAGTGTAGTGTAGTAGTGTAATGTATAGTGTCGTGTGTAGTGTATAGTAGTGTAGTGTATAGTGTATGGTAGTGTAGTGTATAGTGTATAGTAGTGTAGTGTATAGTGTATGGTAGTGTAGTGTATAGTGTATGGTAGTGTAGTGTATAGTAGTGTAGTGTATAGTGTATGGTAGTGTAGTGTATAGTGTATGGTAGTGTAGTGTATAGTGTATAGTAGTGTAGTGTATAGTGTATGGTAGTGTAGTGTATAGTAGTGTAGTGTATAGTGTATAGTAGTGTAGTGTATAGTGTATAGTAGTGTAGTGTATAGTAGTGTAGTGTATAGTGTATGGTAGTGTAGTGTATAGTGTAAAGTAGTGTAGTGTATAGTGTAGTGTGTAGTAGTGTAGTGTATAGTGTAGTGTATAGTGTAGTGTATAATGTATAGTAGTGTAGTGTATAGTGTAGTGTATAATGTATAGTAGTGTAGTGTATAGTGTATAGTAGTGTAGTGTGTAGTAGTGTAGTGTGTAGTAGTGTAGTAGTGTAGTGTATAGTGTAGTGTATAGTGTATAGTTGTGTAGTGTGTAGTAGTGTAGTGTATAGTAGTGTAGTGTATAGTAGTGTAGTGTATAGTGTAGTGTATAGTGTAGTGTGTAGTAGTGTAGTAGTGTAGTGTATTGTGTAGTGTAAAGTAGTGTAGTGTATAGTGTAGTGTGTAGTAGTGTAGTAGTGTAGTGTATAGTAGTGTAGTGTATAGTGTAGTGTATAGTAGTGTAGTGTGTAGTAGTGTAGTGTATTGTGTAGTGTAGTGTGTAGTGTAGTGTATAGTAGTGTAGTGTATTAGTGTATAATAGCGTAGTGTATAGTGTAGTGTGTAGTAGTGTATAGTGTAGTGTATAGTGTAGTGTGTAGTAGTGTAGTGTATAGTGTAGTGTATAGTGTAGTATACTAGTACAGCACACCGGTTGCAACATTATCAATCTGAGTACGACGTTTTGCCAGTAATTACAACCAGCTTCATCAGGCGACAGCCAGATTTGTGGATAAATCTTCCTGTTTCGTTCCTTAAATAGAGGGGTAGATGTGATGACGTCACCTGGGGGATTAATGAATGCATTTCAATGACTATCGGTATCCATTGCCGTTGGGCTTATGTATATCGTAATCGACATACATTACGCGTGCGCGTTACGCTTTTGCTCGCGAAAGCCTACGTGTTCAAGGGGGGGGGGGGGGGGGTGGTACAGTAAGCAAAAAAGTTTGAGAACTACCGCCATCACATATTGCCAGCGTCTCGTGGCTTGCTGCGAGCTCCTAACCCTGGGCCCGGCCTGCCGGACAATAATAATAGTTCAATAATAGTTCAATTTGTAATGCGCGCAAATTTGCAGACGTAGTGGCCGCAACTCAAAGGCACGGAGCCAAGCTCAGAGTCGCTCAAAAGCATGATTGTAGAGGTGAGTTTTTAAGTGTCTCTTGAAGGAGGCGATTGAGGCGATGCTGCGAATGTGCAGAGGGATATCGTTCCAGACTGTTGGGGCTGCCACCGAGAAGCGGCGCATAGACACAACGACCATCCTGGATCTTGGTATCGAGAGGAGGTCGTGAGTCGCGCTGCGCCGGCATCTGCCGTGTGCCGAGCTGCAAGTTGTCAATAATGAAGAAAGGTACAGCGGGCAGGCGCTGACCCCGCGAGGAAATCCGCCCACGGGAAACGTTCTCTCTCGCCCCCCCCCCCCCTTCCCAACAGCAGTCGGCGGACTGGCGGAAGCGGCACAGCGTCGCCATCGCCGACGGCGTCGCGGGCCTCGAGTCCGCCGAGGCGGCGGCGGCGGTGGCGGCGGCGGGGACGGCCGCCACCTTTGCCCCCGGCTCGCGTCACAGCGTGGCCGCCCCCGAGCGGGAAGCCGAGCTGCATCGGCGCAGGGGCACCGATAGGAGCGGCGGCGGCGCCGTGGTGGGGGCGGCGTTGTGGCCGGCGGCAACAGCACCGGCGGTCTGCGCCGAGGATGAGTACAAGCGGGACGCGCTGGAGCGGTGAGCGCGTGGGGGGGGGCGGGGAAAAAGGTCGGAGAGTTTGGCGCAGGAGCGGACGGGGACAAACCGGCTTGCGTAGCAAGGACCGCTCTATGCCCTGTGCACACGGGCACCGTCGCGGGCTCGCGGTGATGCTTGTGGGGTGCCACGGTGGCCAGGAGATGTTAACTACCTCGCCTGGTACGCAGGAGATCGCAGGTTCGATCCCGACCCTGGCGCCTGCTGTATATGTGGAGTTTGCGTGTCTCTGTCTCTCATCATCATCATCACGGTGGCCAGGAGATGTTGACTACCTCGCCTGGTACGCAGGAGATCGCAGGTTCGATCCCGACCCTGGCGCTTGCTGTATATGTGGAGTTTGCGTGTCTCTCTCTCATCATCATCATCACGGTGGCCAGGAGATGTTAACTATCTCGCCTGGTACGCAGGAGATCGCAGGTTCGATCCCGACCCTGTGCGTGTCTCTCTCATCATCATCATCACGGTGGCCAGGAGATGTTAACTACCTCGCCTGGTACGCAGGAGATCGCAGGTTCGATCCCGACCCTGGCGCTTGCTGTATATGTGGAGTTTGCGTGTCTCTCTCTCTCATCATCATCACGGTGGCCAGGAGATGTTAACTACCTCGCCTGGTACGCAGGAGATTGCGGGTTCGATCCCGACCCTGGCACCTGCTGCTGTATATGTGGAGTGTGCGTTGTGTCTCTCTCTCATCATCATCACGGTGGCCAGGAGATGTTAACTACCTCGCCTGGTACGCAGGAGATTGCGGGTTCGATCCCGACCCTGGCACCTGCTGCTGTATATGTGGAGTTTGCGTTGTCTCTCTCCGTAGTGGATTTTCTCTCTGGATCCTCCGGTTTCTCCCTCCGCATTTAGAATCGACATCACGCGCTCAGAGCATTTGGCTGCTCGCTCTAAATTTCCACATTCTAAGCCACTTGGTTGAGCTCTCATTTGCGTTGGCCCGGTTGCTACGTAGCGGCAACTCAGCGGGGGACAACTAAAAAACACGTTTATAAGAGGGGCGAGTGGTGGGCACGCGAGCGGCAGATCTTGACGCTTCAGGAAAACGAGAGACACCTCGTGCATTGAGAGGAGCGGCTTAGGTCGCAAGGCCCCCGTCCCTCCCCCCCCCCCCCCCGTGTAAACTGGCACCGGTGTGTAGGTGGTGACGGTGGGGTTGCCGCGGTGGTGATTTTTTAAAATTTATTTTTATTTTTACAATTGCCTGTTACAAAGCACGAGAAAGGGCGGCGGGGGGTGGGGTACAGTTATTCCGCGGAATGACGAGCCCGAGGCCATGTGCCCACGGGGTAAGGGGAGGAGGCAAGGACGATTGGGCTCTCACTGCCCCACTCACGTAGGGGTAGCGATCGGGGACGCGGGGTTTATAAGATGTCGGAGATGTTAACTACCTCACCAGGTACGCATGAGGTCGTGGGCTCCATCCCGACCCTGACGACGCCTGCCGCCGTATATTCGGAGTTTGCGGCCTCTCTCTCTCTCTCTTCCCGTGTTGGTGGCGTGGAGTTTTCTCCGGGTCCTCCGCGTTTTTCTCGCTCCGCATTTACAACGGGCGTCAAGCGTTCAGAGCGTTTGGATGACCTCAGGGCTCCGGCAATCACTGTCGCCGGCTCACCGCCAGGCTACCTTTCCACTTGCCTCTGACTCCTCGCGGCTCCGAGTCGTTTCTTTCTCCCAGAGTGAGCAAAAACCGTGCGTTGTACAAGTTGAAACCATTGTTATTCTGATGCTGGTGGCGATGACGATGCCTTTGCCGACGGCTATGCCGATGACCCCGCGCTGTTGACGACGACACTGACGTAGACGACACTGCTGGCACTGATGAATTTGCAAGCGCTGCTGCTGCACGCACGCACGCACGTACGTTGAACTTCTTTCGCACCGTACGTAGCCAGCCGTGCTAATCCGAGGCGCTGCTGCAAAGCGCCGAGACCGTGCTGACGGAGCCTCGTGTCGTGCGCTGCCAGGCTGCGGGCGCTGCTGGCGCTGCGCTCCCTCGAGGGGCTGCTGGACCCGACGCTGGTGCACGGGCGCCACCTCGTGCACAACCTGCGCAGCGTGAACCGCCACGGGGTGGTGGTGCTCGCCGACGGCTCCGGTACGCGAGGCCTACGGGCCCCACAAACCTCGGCCCCCATCCCCGCTCGCCGGAGTCGGGAGCGCGCGGAGCGGGGGAGTGGAGAGCGAGAGAGTGAGCGAGAGAGTGAGCGAGCGAGAGAGTGAGCGAGCGAGAGAGTGAGTGAGCGAGAGAGTGAGCGAGCGAGAGAGTGAGCGAGAGAGTGAGCGAGCGAGAGAGTGAGCGAGCGAGAGAGTGAGCGAGCGAGAGAGTGAGCGAGCGAGAGAGTGAGCGAGCGAGAGAGTGAGCGAGCGAGAGAGTGAGTGAGCGAGAGAGTGAGTGAGCGAGAGAGTGAGTGAGCGAGAGAGTGAGTGAGCGAGAGAGAGAGTGAGCGAGAGAGAGAGTGAGCGAGAGAGAGAGCGAGCGAGCGAGAGAGAGAGTGAGCGAGCGAGAGAGCGAGCGAGAGGTGGGGGTTTACATAAAGCAAAGTTTAAAAATGTAAATAAAAAAAAATTACGAAATGATGAACGAAGCAAAGTGCCGACTACACCGAGCATCTTCTTGTTTCCACTGATCGTAAAAAAAAAAGAGAGAGGCAGGAGAGAGCACGGAGGGGGGGAGGGAGTGAGATGAGATTGGAGAGGAGGTGTGAGAGTGTGAGGAGGAGAGCGGTAGGGGAGTGGAAAGAGACGAGAGGCAGGCAAGGGGCTCACCCATGGCGGATCTTGAAGATGGTGAGTGTGTGAGACTGATATTGATGCAGGATTCGAGCCAGTGGGAGGGGGGAGATTGTATTTATTTATTGTAAACATGTAACCTGGTGCAGTCTTGAAACATTGCCACAGGGGAGACAAAGGCGGCCGGGCGTGGTGCTGGCCACCCACCTTCTCGTGTGCCGTGCTTCGTAGGTGCTCGCTAACAGCCCTTGCCCCCGACAGCCTGTTAAGGCTACACGGGGGATCTTTGTCTTTGTTTGTATAGCAGAAGATCTAACTAGTGGTGTAGCGGTTAGCACGCTGCGCTACGAACCCGGTGACCCGAGTTCGATTCCCGCTCGCGGCCTACAACGGTGACGATTGTCTGAACCGGTTCCGGGCCTCCCCCTAGGTCGACTCGGCCTCAAACGAGTACCCGGTGCGGTGTGTAGTAAACATCGCCGCTGGGGAGACAAAGGCGGTCACCGGGCGTGGTGCTGGCCACCCACCCACCTCGTGCGCCGCGCCGGCCTTCATAGCTGCCCGCTGATCGCCGACGACGCTTGCCCTGGACAGTCTGTTAAGGCGACACGGGGCGGTGGGGGAGAAATCTTCGTCTTTTGTTTCTTGCAGAAGACCTTCCCAGCTGGGTGCTGTCCGCCATGAAGTGCCTGGCCACGTGTAAGTACGGCGCCCCCCGCCCCCCCCCCCCCCCCCGCACGACCCACGAAACAACGTAGCTCCCGTCGCGTAACGATGCGCCGACACTGCGAGCCTCACAAACTTTCGCTTGGCTCTCCTGTCGTGTGTTTTGTGTTTGTTTGTTTTTGTCCCACCATTGGAACCTCGTTTGCCAGTAAAAAATATGATAATTGGTTTTTTACCCTTCTCTCTGGCAACAAAACTGACACCTTTTTTACAAGGAGTCATGTTTGCATAGACCACAATACCTGCAGTCATAATGCAAACAAAAAAACACAACTCTGATAATGTATGCACTGTCCTTGAAGTTGATTGGTCCACACCCGAGACAGCTTTCCTTAGAGCCTAGTCTCACATGGGTTGGACCAGATGCAGGTATTGTGGTCTATGCAAACATGACTCCTTGTAAAAAAGGTGTCAGTTTTGTTGCCAGATAGAAGGGTAAAAAACAATTATCATACTTTGTTTTTGTTGTTGTTGTTGTTGTCCTCGTTGAAACGTTCTGACCCCGTGTGCCCCCCGACTGGACTTCTGGATGAAAGAGCTTCATAGCTCATCGGATTTTTCCGGTTTAAATAAATATTCTGAATCTCAGAAGCGTGTGCGTGTGTGTGCACGTGTGTGCGTGTGCGCTCGCTAACAGCACTTGCCCCTACAGTCTGCTAAGGCTATACGGGGGATCTTTGTGTGTGTTGTGGGGAGCGGTGGTGTAGCGGTTCGCGCGCTGCGCTACGAACCCGGCGACCCGAGTTCGATTCCCGCTCACGGCCAACATCAGTGACGATTATCGGAACCGGTCCCGGGCCTCCCCTAGGTTAACTCAGCCTCAAATGAGTACCTGGTACGGTGTGTAAACATTGCCACTGGGGAGGCAAAGGCGGTCGGGCGTGGTGCTGGCCACCCACCCCCTCGTGTACCGTTCCGGCCTTCATAGGTGCTCGCTAACAGCACTTGCCCCTACAGTCTGTTAAGGCTATACGGGGGATCTTTGTGCGTGCTCGTGTGTGTTGTGGGGAGCGGTGGTGTAGCGGTTAGCGCTACGCTGCGCTACGAACCCGGCGACCCGAGTTCGACTCCCGCTCACGGTCTGAGTACCTGGTGTGTAAACATCGCCACTAGGCAGACAAAGGCGGCCGGGCGTGGTGCTGGCCACACACCCCCTCGTGCGCCGTGCCGGCCTTCACAGGCGCTGCTCGCTAACAGCACTTGCCCCTACAGTCTGTTACAGGCTACACGGGGGACCTTCGTCTTTGTGCCCGCGTGTCGCCCCCCCCCCCCACCGCAGGGCCGGCCGGCGATGCCCCGGGCCCGTCGTACCCGGGCTTCGAGCGCGACGTCTTCCGCACGGTGGCCGACTACTTCCTCGCCCTGCCCGAGCCGCTGCTGGCGTTCCCCCTGTACGGCGTCGTCGCCTACGCCCTCTCGCTCACCTCTTCCTCCTCGTCGTCCTCCTCTTCCTCCTCGTCGTCGTCGTCGCTGACGTCATCGTCAACGTCGTCGTCGACCCGAGCTTCGTGTTCGCAACCTTCGTCCGCATCGAGGCCGCCGCCGCCCTCTTACCCTTCGTCGTCTTCGTCCGAGCCTCCTCCTCCGATGGCGACGACGGCGTCACGGCGGCCGCCACCGCCGCCGACGATTTTCTCTAGGGCGGCGGCGTCGGCGTGCCCGGCAAATCCGCCGGCTTCCTCGTCGGCGGCGAACCCGTGGGCGCCGAAGCCCCCTCGGTCGTCGTCGCAGCCCCCGTCGTCGAGAAGTTGCTCGGCGGCGTCATCGGCGGCTCCTCCTCCGTCGCCGCACCTGCCGCCGCAGCCGCCGCAGCGGACGCTCCCCTCGTTCGCGTCCACCGAGAGCCTCATCCTGGACATGTCGCGGTGCCTCGCGTCTCCCGGAGATGAGGGCTCGGAGGGCGACCGTCGCGACGACGACGACGACGACGATGACGGGGACGCCGGAGATGATGCGGCGAGCTTCCGGGGCAACGGGCTGTACCGCGTGGCCGGCGCCGCCAACCTCAACTCTTCGCTGGAGACGGAGCCGCAGTTCCAGCGCTCGCGCAGCGTGCGCTACAACGCCGGCAGGGGGGGCGGCGGTGGTGGTGGAGGTGGTCTTGGTGGTGGTATTGGTGGTGGTGCTGGTGGTGGTGCTGGTGGTGGTATTAGTTTTGGTGGTGGTGCTGGTGGTGGTCTTGGTGGTGGTGGTGGTGCTGGTGCTGGTGGTGGTGCTGGTGGTGGTGGTATTAGTTTTGGTGGTGGTGCTGGTGGTGGTATTAGTTTTGGTGCTGGTGGTGGTGCTGGTGGTGGTGCTGGTGGTGGTGCTGGTGGTGGTCTTGGTGGTGGTGCTGGTGGTGGTCTTGGTGGTGGTGGTGCTGGTGATGGTATTAGTCTTGGTGGTGGTGGTGCTGGTGATGGTATTAGTCTTGGTGGTGGTGGTGCTGGTGGTGGTCTTGGTGGTGGTGCTGGTGGTGGTCTTGGTGGTGGTCTTGGTGGTGGTGCTGGTGGTCTTGGTGGTGGTGCTGGTGGTGGTCTTGGTGGTGGTGCTGGTGGTCTTGGTGGTGGTGGTGGTGCTGGTGGTGGTCTTGGTGGTGGTGCTGGAGGTGGTCTTGCTGGTGGTGTTGGTGGTGTGAGACGCTCGCCGCGCTCGCAGGAGAACGCCGATCCCAACGCGGGGAACGCGGAAGGTGGCGGCGGCCGCGGGACCACCGCTCTGGCGGACGTCGACACGCGTGAGTCAGCCGGCCACCCGCTCGCCCCCCCCGTCTCCTCACTCGTCATTTATCGATCGCCCCTCACCCACTTGCTCGCTCATAACTCGCTCGCTAATTTCGAAATCGCTCGCCAGCTCGCTCGATCACTCGCTCGCTCGCTCGCCCACCCACTCGTTCACAATTCACTTGTGTTTCTCGCCCACGAGCTCACACCTGACTCTCTGACTCGTTAGTTTCTAAATCGCCCGCCAGCTCGCTAACTAGCTCTCACTCGCTCATAGCTCGCCCTCTCCACGAATTCACTCACTCGATGAACAATTTTCTCTCTCACGAGGTGAGGCCCACTGAGCTGTGTAGCTCTTTTTCAGACGCGACCTGGGCATCACAAGTGATAGCCCGACAAGAAGTGGCTTATCGTCACGAGGACATTTACAGCAGCCAGATACTCTAAACCAGTGGTTCCTAACCTTCACTGCCGCCTACTGGCACCCCTTGGGTTCTCAATCGTTGATGTCGATTCTAAATGTCGAGGGGAAACAAACGGAGGACCCGGAGAAAAATCCACGCCACCACGGGGAGAAAGAGACACCGCAAACTCCAAATATACAGCAGCAGGTATCGTCAGGGTCGCAATCGAACCCACAACCTCCTGTATACCAGGCGAGGTAGTTAACATCTCATAGCCACCGTGATGATGATGATGAGAGAGACACGCAAACTCCAAATATACAGCAGAAGGCATCGTCAGGGGTCAGGATCAAACCAACGACCTCCTGTACACCAGGCGAGGTAGTTAACATCTCCTAGCCACCGTGATGATGATGATGAGAGAGAGACACGCAAACTCCAAATATACAGCAGCAGTCGGTGTCGGGATCGAACCCACGACCTCCTGTACACCAGGCGAGGTAGTTGGCTACAACGCGAAAGAAGTTCAACATACGTGCACCTCCGATTGGTACGGATGGCTACATGCGGTGAAAAGTTCAACGTAGACTCACACATAGACCCGTAGACTCACACAGAGACCCATAGACTACTCACACAGAGACCCGTAGACTCACACAGAGACCCGTAGACTCGCACAGAGACCCATAGACTACTCACACAGAGACCCGTAGACTCACACAGAGACCCATAGACTCACACAGAGACCCATAGACTCACACAGAGACCCATAGACTCACACAGGAACCCATAGACTCACACAGAGACTCGTAGACTCACACAGAGACTCGTAGACTCACACAGAGACCCATAGACTCACACAGAGACCCATAGACTCACACAGAGACTCGTAGACTCACACAGAGACTCGTAGACTCACACAGAGACCCATAGACTCACACAGAGACCCATAGACTCACATAGGAACCCATAGACTCGCACAGAGTCCCATAGACTCGCACAGAGACCCATAGACTCACACAGAGACCCGTAGACTCACACGGAGACCCATAGACTCACACGGAGACCAGTAGACTCACACAGAGACCAGTAGACTCACACAGAGACCCGTAGACTCACACAGAGACCCATAGACTCACACAGAGACCCATAGACTCACACAGAGACCCGTAGACTCGCACAGAGACCCGTAGACTCGCACAGAGACCCATAGACTCACACAGAGACCCATAGACTCACACAGAGACCCGTAGACTCACACAGAGACCCGTAGACTCGCACAGAGACCCATAGACTCACACAGAGACCCATAGACTCACACAGAGACCCGTAGACTCACACAGAGACCCATAGACTCACACAGAGACCCATAGACTCACACAGAGACCCATAGACTCACACAGAGACCCGTAGACTCCCACAGAGACCCATAGACTCACACAGAGACCCATAGACTCACACAGAGACCCGTAGACTCACACAGAGACCCGTAGACTACTCGTACTTAGACCCATCGTTTCACGTCCTTCCCCCGCACCTCCGATTAACACCGCAGTTGGCTACGTACGGCGCGAAAGCAGTTCAACGTGCACGACACCTCGCCACCGCGGCGCCCGCTCGCTCACCCTCACCCGCCTGCGCCTGTTCCCCCCGCTTGCGCCGCCTGCAGGCGTCGCTCTGGCTCTGCAGCTCTGCTGCGCCCTGCTGCCGCCATTGTCGCGGCGCCGCCTGCAGCTGCTGGTGCGCGTGGTGGTGCGCGTGGCTCACAATGACCAGCTGCCCCCGCTGCAGCCGCCGATGGACAACCGCAGCCTGGTGAGTGAGGCCACAGACTGGGTGGTGTTGGCGGAGGCGGTTTGTGCGATGGCGGTGGCGATGGGCGCTAGCACGCGTGCAAGAAGTTGAGCATACGCACGCGCACCGAGTAGTCGGTGCGGGAATCGACGAGTGGACGGGGACGGTCGCCACGGTGGTAGCTACAGAGGTGCGATAAGGAGGCGGCTGACCGACCCTGAGCGTGCGATGGGAGAGAATCCGTGCCGTCCCCCCCCCCCCCCCCGTTTCTTAACCCCCTTCCCCCCCTTCCCACTGAGCCCTGTTTCCATAAACTAATCTAAAAGCTCAATGTTTTTGGGTTAGAGCGCGTGTCAATGTGTCGTAACCCTCCACCACCCGACAGCCAATAAGTAAGGGATTTGTTACGTAAACATAACGCCAATTAGTTACTAGTATAGTGTATAGTCGTGTGCAGTGTAGTGTTTAGTCGTGCAGTGTTTACTACACTACTAAACACTCCCCATAGACTCAACACTGCCCATAGACTCAACACTGCACCATAGACTCAACACTGCACCATAGACTCAACACTGCTCATAGACCCAACACTGCACCATAGACTCAACACTGCACCATAGACTCAACACTGCACCATAGACTCAACACTGCCCATAGACTCAACACTGCACCATAGACTCAACACTGCACCATAGACCCAACACTGCTCATAGACCCAACACTGCCCATAGACTCAACACTGCACCATAGACTCAACACTGCACCATAGACTCAACACTGCACCATAGACTCAACACTGCACCATAGACTCAACACTACCCATAGACTCAACACTGCACCATAGACTCAACACTGCACTATAGACTCAACACTGCACCATAGACTCAACACTACCCATAGACTCAGCACTGCCCACAGACTCAGCACTCTACCTATAGTTTAACATGTAGTAGGTATTCGCGACCAATAGCATCCATAATAGAGGTTGTTTGGGGTTAGATCTGCGTAAAAATATAAATGTGTCGTTAAACCCGCCACCACCCGACACAGCCAACTAGTATGGGTTGTCACGTAAACAGAACGTGGCCAATTCGTCACTAGTACAGCATCACCGGTGTAGTGTAGTGTATAGTAGTGTAGTGTATAGTAGTGTAGTGTATAGTAGTGTAGTAGTGTAGTGTATAGTAGTGTAGTGTATAGTAGTGTAGTGTATAGTAGTGTAGTGTGTAGTAGTATAGTGTATAGTAGTGTGTAGTAGTGTAGTGTATAGTGTATAGTAGTGTAGTGTATATTAGTGTAGTGTATAGTAGTGTGTAGTAGAGTAGAGTAGTGTGTAGTAGAGTAGTGTAGTGTATAGTAGTGTAGTGTATAGTGTATAGTAGTGTATAGTGTAGTGTATAGTAGTGTAGTGTGTAGTAGTGTAGTGTATTGTGTATAGTAGTGTAGTGTATAGTGTAGTGTATAGTAATGTATTATATTGTGTATAGTAGTGTAGTGTGTAGTAGTGTAGTGTATAGTGTAGTGTATAGTAGTGTGTAGTAGTGTATTATATTGTGTATAGTAGTGTAGTTTATAGTAGTGTATAGTGTAGTATACTACTTCAGCCCACCAGTGTGTTGGAGAGGGTAATTTTAAATCATCATCTCGATTGAAAACTAATTTCTTTAGAACTGCTTGCTTTGTTTAGTTTGTCGTCCTTCCCTCCCCGCACCTCCGATACGTCACGTCCGCCTACCTACGCTGCGAAACAAGTTCCACGTACATACATGCATACATCTTCTTGGTTCTTTCGGTAAAGTCACGTAGAAGGGAAGTAATAAAATAATAAAAATAAAACATAATAAAATAATTCTCACGACGTTTCAGGCCACAACGCAAGCAGCCGTCCTCAGGTGAAGAACAGGTCATTCAGAAAGACAGCGTCAGACAGACCTGTTCTTCACCTGAAGACGGCTGCTTGCGTTGTGGCCGAAACGTCGTGAGAATTATTTTATTATGTTTTATTTTTATTATTTTATTACTTCCCTTCTACGTGACTTTACCGAAAGAACCAAGAAGATGAATCCCTGCAGTCACGAAAGCTTTAAATCGAAATTTACATGCATACAATCACAATCAGAATCGGAAAGGGTTTTGTTCGCCATGAAAGTTCGCACAAACAAGGAATTCACTATGGCAGGAAGGTGCGTACATTCAACCTGTAAGAATCTTAAAACTTAATAAGTGGTATACAGTCTAACTATACTAAAATTACAAAGTCTAACTAATACTCAGGGGCTAAAGTATGTAAAATGTTGAATAAGTACACGATATAAAATGTAAACTAGCCGTAATATACAATCTTAAAATACAAATAGGGTAACATGTTGTAAATATGTCAAGGTGTAATTTTGTAGATAAAATGTTAAAGTAAGTAACATCCGCCCCCCCCCTCCCCCCCCCCCCCCCCCCCCGCGTAGATGCTGGAGAGCCTGTGGCGCTGCGTGCTGCGACCCCGCGACCCCTCGCGTCTCGACGAGGTTCTGTGTCGCCGCGCCCTCGACTTCATCGCGCGGAACCACGCGCTGGTGCTGCGGCCGCCCGTGCACCTCCTTGCCGGCCCCCAGCCCCGCGCCGCCCCCGTGAGTGTGGCGACTCTCCGCGTGTTGGCGAGCGTGTTGGCGAGCTCGCTGGCTCGCTCACTTGCTAACTCGCGAGCGGGCGCGCTCGTTCACTCTCTGACTCTCTCGCTCACTCGCTGACTCTCCCGCTCACTCTCTGACCCGCTTGCGGGCACGCTCGTTCACTCGCTGGCTCGCTCGCTCACTCTCTCGCTCACTCGCTGACTCTCTCGCTCACTCTCTGACTCACTTGCGGGCGCGCTCGCTCACTCTCTGACTCTCTCGCTCACTCTCTGACTCGCTGGCGGGCACGCTCGCTCACACACTGACTCTCTCGCTCACTCGCTGACTCTCTCGCTTACTCGCTGACTCTCTCGCTCACTCGCTGACTCTCTCGCTCACTCGCTGACTCTCTCGCTCACTCGCTGACTCTCTCACTCACTCGCTGACTCTCTCGTTCACTCGCTGACTCTCTCGCTCACTCTCTGACTCGCTTGCGGGCGCGCTCATTCTCTCACTGACTCACTGGCGGGCGCGCTCGCTCACTCGCTGACTCTCTCGCTCACTTGCTGACTCGCTGGCGGGCACGCTCGTTTACTCGCTGGCTCGCTTGCTCACTCTCTGACTCTCTCGCTCACTCGCTGACTCTCTCGCTCACTCGCTGACTCTCTCGCTCACTCTCTGACTCTCTCGCTCACTCGCTGACTCTCTCGTTCACTCACTGACTCTCTCGCTCACTCGCTGACTCTCTCGCTCACTCGCTGACTCGTTCGCTGGCTCGCTGGCGCGCCCGCCCCCGAATCAGCGAGTCTGCGAGCGCGCCCGCCAAAAATCTGAATGGGGTGAGAACGTGACAAGCAACAAGCATACAATACAACAACCCACGTGTCGAACGGGGGGATGCCCAGTCCTCGCCTCGCTCACCGTTTGTCCTCTCCGCGCGCTTGCGGGGCCCGCAGGATCCGGGCCGCGAGCCCCAGCTCCAGCCCAGCCACTGGTTCTGCCGCCAGATCAGCGTGAGCGAGTTCCGCGCTCAGGGGCAGAGCGAGTCGCGGGCCGCCCTCGTCGCGCTGCTCGACGGCCTCGTGGACGACGGGCGAATGAGCCAGCGGGAGAAGCAACGCAAGATCAAGCAGGTGGGCGAGCGGGCGGGTGAGCGGGTGGGCGGGCGGGTGAGTGGGTGAGCAGGTGAGCAGGCGGGCGGGTGAGCAGGCGGGCGGGTGAGCCGGTGAGCGGGCGGGCGGGTGAGCGGGCGGGCGGGTGAGCGGGCGGGTGAGCGGGCGGGCGGGTGAGCGGGCGGGCGGGTGAGCGGGTGAGCGGGCAGGCGGGCGCATGCGTGGTGCAGGTGCATGCGTGGTGCGGGGGCATGCGGCTGCTAGGGTAAGCGGGGGCAACAGAGTTTTTTTCGGTTGTTTTAACCTCTTTCCCGTTGCGAGACATCTGCAAGATGAGAATCGGAATGTTTGTTTGTAGCTGGAGGTATCCGATGCAGATGTCCACCAGTAGGGGGTCAGTTACGTTATAACAACAAACAATACGAAAAACACTAAAGGAGTGCACAGTATAGCAAAGGTAAAAAACCGTACAAATAAACTAAAACAGTTTGTAACTTAACAGCTAAAGCCCACTGAGCTTATTTTCTTCATTTTTAGAAGCGAGCTGGCCACAAATGATAGCTCAACGAAGTGGCTTATCGCGTGGAAGTTTATAGCGGCCGAATTCTCTTCAACGCACATTGATTCTAATTGCGGAAGGGAAAAACCGGAAGAGAGAGACACCGCAAACTCCAAATATACAACAGCAGGCATCATCAGGGGTCGGGATCGAACCCACGGCACCTCCTGCATACCAGGCGAGGGAGTTAATATCGCCTAGCCATCATGATGATGATGATGAGAGAGAGACACCGCAAACTCCAAATATACAATAGCAGGCGTCAGCAGGGGTCGGGATCAAACCCACGGCACCTCCTGCATACCAGGCGAGGTAGTTAACATCTCCTAGCCACCGTGATGATGATGAGAGAGAGACACGCAAACTCCAAATATACAACAGTAGGCGTCGTCAGGGTCGGGATCGAACCCATGGCACCTCCTGCATACCAGGCGAGGGAGTTAATATCTCCTAGCCACCGTGATGATGATGAGAGAGAGACACGCAAACTCTAAATATACAGCAGCAGGCATCATCAGGGGTCGGGATCGAACCCAAGGCACCTCCTGCATACCAGGCGAGGGAGTTAACATCTCCTAGCCACCACGGCGCCCCCCTCTCGCCACACACACATGCATTAAGGCTATACGGGGGGCAGAGGTCGCAACCGGGTACCCGATACCCGTACCCTACCCGATACCCGGCTACCCGTACCCGGCCGGGTACGGGTAGGCCGTGAGTCACTGGTGAGTCACCGTTTGTCACTCATTTCCCAACGTCTTGTCTCTTCTCACAATTCAAGTTCCTAGAATCAACCCACCCGTGCCTGCAACATGGCTTCATCCCAGAGGTCGCAATCGGGTACCCGTTTGGGTACCCGTTTGCGACCCTGGTGCGGCCGGGTACGGGTAAGGAATCAAAACCCGTTTGTGACCTCTGACGGGGGGTAGTGGAGGTGATCATTACGTGCGTGCGTCTCTCCCGCCAGTTCCGCAAGGCGTACCCGGACGTCTACAGAAGCCGTTTCCCCGACGCCGCTGGCTGCTCCCCGGCGCCACCGCCGAGGGCTCCACGCCGGCCTCCTCTGCTCTCCCTCAAGGGGGCCCTTCCCAACCCCTTCAACCGCGTGCGCTTCTGAGCCCCCCCCCCCAACCACCCCCTCCACTCTTCCCGCCACCACCACCCACCGCCACCGAGTGCCCCGCCAAAGCAGCACGCGCCTACGTGAAGAGCGTGGTGGTGGTGGCGGCGGTGGTGGTGGTGGTATTGGGCAGGGGCGAGGCGTCAACGACAAGCAAGCGGAGACAAGAGACTGGCTCCCGCCACGGGAATGTGGAATTTCCGCCGCTGGCTCGGGGCTGCCGCCCGACGGACTGTGGCCGCCGCCGCCGCAGAAACTTTGGAATTGTATTTGTTGCCCCTGCGGGGTTATTTTTCGGGGATACAGGGAGGCAACGAAAGGGATTGCAGGCAGCCTGTTGGGGAGTGGAATGGGGGGCCGGGGGGGGGAGGGTTTGTGGGGTGCGGCTGGGTCTGTATCCCCCCTCCCCCCAGCTCCCACAATTCAATGCAGTAACTCACAGGAGTTTGCTTCCCCCGTAACTTAATCCTTCCCTCCCAAGTTGCCGTGGTTATCGGTGCTGCCGTATTGACTGTTACGTACGCGTTGGGCTCGGTGGTTAGAACTCACCGGACTCGCAATGTCGCCACAGTGGTTAGGAGATGTTAACTCCCTCGCCCGGTGTGCAGGAGGTCGTGGGTTCGATCCCGACCCTGACGCCTGCTGCTGCTGTATACTTGGAATTTGCGTGTCTCTCATCATCATCATCATCATCACGGTGGCTAGGAGATGTTAACTCCCTCGCCCGGTGTGCAGGAGGTCGTGGGTTCGATCCCGACCCTGACGCCTGCTGCTGCTGTATATTTGGAGTTTGCGTGTCTCTCATCATCATCATCACGGTGGGTAGGAGATGTTAACTCCCTCGCCCAGTGTGCAGGAGGTCGTGGGTTCGACCCTGATGCCTGCTGCTGTATATTTGGAGTTTGCGTATCTCTCTCTCTCCCCGTGGTCGCGTGGATTTTTCTCCGGGTCCTCCGCTTTTCCCCCCCTCCACATTTAGAATCGACGTGCGTTTGGAGTACTCGCGTGCCATCAATTTCCACGCGACGGTGATGGGCCACTTTTTGTTGAGCCTATCATTTGCGGTGCCCAGGTCGCTTCTGAAAAAGAGCGACGTCGCAACTCGTAAAATTTGTTTTAAAAGAAGGCAGGGGCAGAGGTCGCAAACGGGTTTTGATTCCTTACCCGTACCCGGCCGCACCAGGGTCGCAAACGGGTACCCGTACCTGTATCCGTACCCTACCCATACCCGGCTGGGTACGGGTAGGGTACGGGTATCGGGTACCTGATTGCGACCTCTGGGATGAAGCCATGTTGCAGGCGTGGGTGGGTTGATTCTAGGAACTTGAATTGTGAGAAGAGACAAGACGTTGGGAAATGAGTGACACACGGTGACTCACCAGTGACTCACGGTCTACCCGTACCCAGCCGCACCAGGGTCGCAAACGGGTACCCGTACACCCGTACCCGGCCGGGTACGGTTAATCGGCTATCGGGTAGGGTACGGGTATCGGGTACCCGGTTGGGACCTCTGTGGCAGGGGCAGTGCAAAGGTGCCGAGGAATGTGTGACCGTAGCAGAGGTCACGTCGGGGTCACGAAAGGGCAGGGGGGGGGAGGTACGGGAAGGAGTGAAAGGGAAGAGAAAGGCAGTGGGCAGTGGAGGCAGTTGTGAGGTGAGCTTTAGCCACCGGACAATTTAATGACATAGCGAACCATAGGCCGGGCGATGGCGATGGCGGCGGCGGTGGTGGTGGTGCCTTACCTGGTAGAGTTGAAAATAGTTTTAGGTGTCCATCCGTGTCTGGATGAGGGTCTGTTACAGCGAGTCGCACAGTCACGTTGATCGGTGCGGGTCGGGTTGGAAGCCCAGGACCGGCTCGGATATCGTTCACTACCGGTGTCAGCCGCCGTGGCCAGGAACGAAACTCAGGTACACACACCCCCCCCTTCCCCTACTCCCGCCTCCACCGCTACCGGGTTCGTAGCGAGCGCACAGATGACTGCGACACAGCTAGCTCCGTCCTAGAGATACTCGTAGAATAACAAAATAAAAAATGTTCTTATCCGAGAGAGAGTTGGTACGGTAAAAAGGGAATTCAAGATGCAATTGGTCCCGGATCACGTGATGGGGCTGGTGCGGGGGGGGGACGCTTTTAGCTTCAAAGCGACTTTTAGTCTTGTGTTTTCGTCGTCTAAACATTCGTGCGTTGCACGTTTTAACCATATTTTTTTTTATCATTCTAAATGCTTTTGCTGCTGCCGTGCACCGTGCGGTAGCAAGGCCCTGGTTTTAATTGAGGTGGATTGAAAGGGAGCTGCGCTCAGGTTTCCACGAGGCCAAAGGGATTCTTAACGGAGGCGCAGACCCACACAACGAGTCGGCGCCTTCATATGTTGGGGGGGGGGCCCCCGCTGCCGTAGATCGATCAAAATCGTTTCTAACTCTCCCGCGGGACACGTCCGTCGAATCGAGCGTGTGCGGCGTAGTTTATCGCGTCACACTCGTGCGCCGATGCGTGCGATTGGTTCGCTGCAAACCCTGCGGTTCTGCATCGGTTTTCTCCGCTAATTTTCAGACCGGGTTGGGGGCGGGTAGGGGTCACTTTCACCGATAAGACATCAGTGTGTGCGAAACCATTGGTGGTTTGACGGGATGACGACGACGACGGGGGTGTGTTTTCACATTTGTGTTTTCTCAGGGGCCGCACTAAAGGCCACCAGGGGGGCCCGTAAATGGCCCCGTGGGCTGCTCTACACATACGCCGCAAGGGAAGCAAGCAAGCAGATGTAGATGCCACTGGTTCTTCACGTTCTGCAGATGTAGATGCCACTGGTTCTTCACGTTCTGCAGATGTAGATGCCACTGGTTCTTCACGTTCTGCAGATGTAGATACCACTGGTTCTTCACGTTCTGCAGATGTAGATGCCACTGGTTCTTCATGTTCTGCAGATGTAGATGCCACTGGTTCTTCACGTTCTGCAGATGTAGATGCCACTGGTTCTTCACGTTCTGCAGATGTAGATGCCACTGGTTCTTCACGTTCTGCAGATGTAGATGCCACTGGTTCTTCACGTTCTGCAGATGTAGATGCCACTGGTTCTTCACGTTCTGCAGATGTAGATGCCACTGGTTCTTCACGTTCTGCAGATGTAGATGCCACTGGTTCTTCACGTTCTGCAGATGTAGATACCACTGGTTCTTCACGTTCTGCAGATGTAGATGCCACTGGTTCTTCATGTTCTGCAGATCTAGATGCCACTGGTTCTTCACGTTCTGCAGATGTAGATGCCACTGGTTCTTCACGTTCTGCAGATGTAGATGCCACTGGTTCTTCACGTTCTGCAGATGTAGATGCCACTGGTTCTTCACGTTCTGCAGATGTAGATGCCACTGGTTCTTCACGTTCTGCAGATGTAGATGCCACTGGTTCTTCACGTTCTGCAGATGTAGATGCCACTGGTTCTTCACGTTCTGCAGATGTAGATGCCACTGGTTCTTCACGTTCTGCAGATGTAGATGCCACTGGTTCTTCACGTTCTGCAGATGTAGATGCCACTGGTTCTTCATGTTCTGCAGATGTAGATGCCACTGGTTCTTCACGTTCTGCAGATGTAGATGCCACTGGTTCTTCGCGTTCTGCAGATGTAGATGCCACTGGTTCTTCGCGTTCTGCAGATGTAGATGCCACTGGGTGTTCACGTTCTGCAGATGTAGATGCCACTGGTTCTTCACGTTCTGCAGATGTAGATGCCGCTGGTTCTTCACGTTCTGCAGATGTAGATGTCGCTGGTTCTTCACCTTCTGCAGATGTAGATGCCACTGGTTCTTCACGTTCTGCAGATATAGATGCCACTGGTTCTTCATGTTCTGCAGATGTAGATGCCCACTGGATCTTCACGTTCTGCAGATGTAGATGCCACTGGATCTTCACGTTCTGCAGATGTAGATGCCACTGGTTCCTCACGTTCTGCAGATGTAGATGCCACTGGTTCTCCATGTTCTGCAGATGTAGATGCCACTGGATCTTCACGTTCTGCAGATGTAGATGCCACTGGTTCCTCACGTTCTGCAGATGTAGATGCCACTGGTTCTCCATGTTCTGCAGATGTAGATGCCACTGGTTCTTCGCGTTCTGCAGATGTAGATGCTACTGGGTGTTCACGTTCTGCAGATGTAGATGCCACTGGTTCTTCACGTTCTGCAGATGTAGATGCCGCTGGTTCTTCACGTTCTGCAGATGTAGATGTCGCTGGTTCTTCACCTTCTGCAGATGTAGATGCCACTGTTTCTTCACGTTCTGCAGATGTAGATGCCACTGGTTCTTCACCCTCTGCAGATGTAGATGCCACTGGTTCTTCACCTTCTGCAGATGTAGATGTAGCCACTGGTTCTTCACGTTCTGTAGATATAGATGCTACTGGTTCTTCACGTTCTGCAGATGTAGATGCCACTGGTTCTTCACGTTCTGCAGATGTAGATGCCACTGGTTCTTCACGTTCTGTAGATGCCACTGGTTCTTCACGTTCTGCAGATGTAGATGCCACTGGTTCTTCACGTTCTGCAGATGTAGATGTAGATGCCACTGTTTCTTCACGTTCTGCAGATGTAGATGCCACTGGTTCTACACGTTCTGCAGATGTAGATGCCACTGGTTCTACACGTTCTGCAGATGTAGATGCCACTGGTTCTGCAGATGTAGATGCCATCACCACCATCTCTTGCGCGGCGATTGCAGCGATCCGAACTGCTGCAAGCGGACACACGGACCAGGTTCGTTCGTATCTCCGAAAGTTTGTGAGTCGAATATGCGTAGGTAGAGGAGAGTCCCTGTATATAGATCAGTGGGCTTTACCTGATCAAATAAAACATGATATCCGCCTACCACCATCCATGGCGACCCGAGTTCGATTCCCGGCCATTTATAAATGACGGTGGCCAAGGGTGTTTGTCGATTTAGCCAAAGTGTGAGAAAATATTTAGTTTTAGTGCGTCCGCTGCATGTTTATTGCCCAGCTGTCGTTACTGGCAAAGAAAGGCGGCATTGCTGCCTGGGTGTGTGAGGGTGTGGGGAGCGGTAGCGTCGCGGATTAGCGCTACGCTGCGCTACGAACCCGGCGGCCCGAGTTCGATTGCCGCTCGCGACCAAAACCGCCGGTGAAGATTATTTGAACCGGTCCTGGGCCTCCCCTAGGTCGACTCAGCCTCAAATGAGTACCTGGTGCTGTGTGTAAACATCGCTGCTCGGGGAGACAAAGGCGGCCGGGCGTGGTGCTGGTCACCCACCCCCTCGTGTACCCGTTCCGGCCTTCATAGGTGCTCGCTAACAGCGCCTGCTCCCACAGTCTGTTGAGGCTACACGGTGGGGGGGGGGGCATCTTTGTGTGAACTAGACATCTGTATAAACAACGAATTTCATAGCTCATCGGATTTCTCGAGGATAAAGAATCTCATTAACTGCCATGCAGTTCTGGCACAGTGCCATGGAACCCGGCATGAGCCTTGGTTCTATTCCCGGCGGCTGCTAGCATCAGTGGCAAGTGCTGTCTAAACCAGTCCCCCTTTGAGCCTTCTGTAGGTCGGCTCAGACACGTGAGTATGTGGTACGGCGTGAAAGCGTCAGCTCTGGGGGGAGAGAGTAAGGTGTCTGCCTGGCCCTTCAGCACTTGATCCAACACTTGTGTGTAGGCAACATGGGGAATCCATACTCTTTGGGTCTTTCGGTAAAGTCACGGAGGTAGAAAAGATAAAAATAGATTCTAGATTTGAGGTTTTCGTGACTGCAAGGATTCATACTCTTTGGTGTTTTCGGTAAAGTCACGTGGTAGGTAAAAATATAATTAAAATAAATGGAAAAAAAAACAACTGAATTAAATCACGACGGAAGCTTGTGTTGCAGAGCTCACAACCGGGTACCCGATACCCGTACCCGGCCGGGTACGGGTAGCCGTTTGTGACCTTGGTACGGCTGGGTACGGGTAGGCCGTGAGTCACTGGTGAGTCACCGTTTGTCACTCATTTCGGATAAGGTACGGGTAGCGTACGGGTACCCATACCCGGCCGGGTACGGGTAGCCGTTTGCGACCCTGGTGCGGCCGGGTACGGGTAAGGAATCAAAACCCGTTTGCGACCTCTGTTGTGTTGCCTCCGAAACGTCGTGATTTTTTAATTCGGTTTTTTCATTTATTTTTTTATTTTTAACTACTACGTGACTTTACCGACAAAACCAAAGAGTATGAAGAATGGATCACGACGTTTCGATCGCAACACAAGCGGTCGTCCTCAGGCGGAAAAAATAATCCAGCAGTTGAACTGCCGGATTAGTTTCAGGCGGAAAAAATAATCCAGCAGTGATCGAAACGTCATGATCAATTTTTTTTTCTACCTACGCGACTTTAACCAAAATGACCAACGAGGTATGGATTCCTGCAGTCACGAAAGCTTCAAATCAACGCGGGGAATATTTGTTTTTGGTTGTAAACCATCATTAGAATCCTCGATCCGGGTGCTATGCAGCGTTGGTGTGGCCTGGTTTTCAAAGTGCCTTGAATGTAATTTTTTCAGGAATATACTGTGAATATTGTTGCAGCACTGATTGACTAAGCGTCTGAACTAGGCCTCGGCAAGGGTAACGTAA